AGGAGAGAGAGAGAGAGAGAGAGAGAGAGAGAGAGAGAGAGAGAGAGAGAGAGAGAGAGAGAGAGAGAGAGAGACGAAGACAGTAACAGAAAGAAGAGATGAAAGAGAGAACGAAATAACGAAACAGAGAGATACATTGCAGATCTGACAATATCCTTTCATATAAACTCAATCTTACGAATAAAAAACACCACCAAACCGGACAGCCTCTCCCAGTCAGTCTCTATCTCTCCCTCCTAATGCATTCCACATCCCCTCGTTCTATAACCACCACAAACACAAGGGACAAAAATAAATAAAATAGAAAAAATAACAATAATGCACAGCCAACGTCATGCAACTTTTACAAGACTCCGCAAAACGGTCTCGGTCTCCACGTTGAAAAACCTACTTTACGAGAATATAATTTCACGTTTGGCGGACAAGCAGTCATGCGAAATACGAGGAATGTACTAAACCAGCTGGTAATGATACTTATGTCAAGGGAAAACAGAATGAAAGAAGCGCCGATCTCGTCTAACGGGAACGATCGCCTCTCCCAAAAAGTCGTTCGTATTAATAAATATAAATAATAAATGGAAGGATTGAGATTGATTTTGCAATGTTCGGCAATGTGGATTTTCATCAGTATTATAAATAGTAACAATAACTGAAATAACCTTAATGACAATACTGGAGATAATAGTAGTAATGATAACAATAGTGCTACTGCTGCTAATAGTACAGTAGTTGTAATGGTTATGCTAGTAGTTGTAGCAGAAGTAATATTGGTGGTATGATAATAATGAAAATCATTATGATAATAAGAAAAATATTAATAACAATAACGATCACAGTAACGAAAACAATGATAATAATAACAATAATAATAACAACAACTACAATCATAATAATAACAATAAAGATAGTAATAATGGCATAGACACAACAAAACCAGTAAAAATATTGATTTTAATATCAACAACACCATTGTATTCTTGAATTTATGAACAACAATGACAATCACAAAAGTAATAAAAGTACCAGCAATCTCAATCAATATCAACGATGTGAACAGAAATAATTGTAATTATATTTCTAAAAATCGTAATAATATTAACGGTAGCAACAACAGGGCTAATGTCATTATAACCCCCAAAAAAAACAATAATAATAACAATAAGAATGGTAATAACAATGGTAATAATAAGAATATAATAATAACAGTATTAGTAGTAGTAGTAGTAATAATAATAATGATAATTGGTAAATAATAATACTAATAACAGCAATAATAATATGTAAATAACAAACAACATTAGTAGTAGTAATAATAATAATGATAGGTAAATAATAAGCAACAGTAAAAACAATAACAATACTAATAACAGTAATGATAATAATAATAATAAACTGAAGTCCCGCAAGATACAATTATCGTTGTGTTTTCCTGTCTTACTCTCATTTCTAAAATTCTTACTCTTATAATCTTATGATTTATTTATTCCTGATTTTATATGTATTTAGTGATTATTTCATGGTGTTATATTTTGTTGTTGTTATCAATATTTAATGCAAATACACGTCAAGCTAATCGGAATTTACAGAACCATATAACTTTCATTTATTATAGTTACTACCTATTTTTTTGTTTGTTTGTTTATTTATTTATTTTATTACATTCATCATCATCCTTTTATCATGCAGTTTCGTTCTTTTATTCGCATTCACTGTACGTGGAGATATTTGCTCACGGTACAAAGCTGAACGTAGACTTTAGCAGAGAACGAGAAGCTAACACGCCATCTGGTAAGTTGTATTTAAAGGAAAAAAAAAGAAAAGTAAACGAAGGAAAGAAAAAAAAAACGCTCTTAACTTCAATATGAATGAAATAAATGTCAAGATTAGACACAACTTTATTTGCATTTTTAAAAACACGAAGAATTATGGGAGGAATACACATACATGCTGGGAAAATGGTAATCAAAAACAAGTCAATTAATTTGATGAAAACTAAAAACAAAACAAAAACGTTTGATTCATTTACATAAAAAAAAACGTTTCATTCATTTACTAAAAAAAGAGAAAAAAGTTTGATTCATTCACTTATAATTTGATAAGTAACGTTCATTTAGGGATTCTTTTCCATCGGGAATGTATTTTTGTAAAAACCTCAGCTGAGTATACTGGGACAGTGAGGATTCACCCGCAATCCTCAGCTGAAAAAGGAAAACAGTAAGACACACACACACACATCTATATATATGTGTGTATATGTATATATATATATATATATATATATATATATATATATATATATATATATATATATATATATATGTATTTATATATACAAATATATACATATAAATGCATGTGTATATATATACACATACATATATACAAACATACATATATACGTACATACATACATACAAACATAGATATATATATAAATATATACTACATATATACTATATACACACACACACACACACACACACACACACACACACACACACACACACACATATATATATATATATATATATATATATATATATATATATATATATATATTGCGTATATATATATATATATATATATATATATATATATTGCGTATATATATATGTATATATATATATATATATATATATATATATATATATATATATATATATATATATATATATATGTATATACTGCGTATATATATATATGTATATATATACGATATTTACATATATATATATATATATATATGTATATATATATATACATATATATATATATATATATATATATATATATATATATATATATATATATATATATATATATATATATATATATGTATGGTATAGTTCGAGAGAGAGCGAGGGAGAGGAAACGGTCCACCGGCCGAGCGGCCCGACGGAGGGACTAAGAAACCGAGAGAAACGGACCCAGAGACCCCCCCCCAAAAAAACGCCCCTCCTCCGCTTACCATACACGCACACAATCACACACACACACACGCACACACGCAAAGACGACATCTCCCATAACTGTCATCAGCTGTCAGGCAGTAATGCAGTAATGAGAGGGCCGGCTCATTACTCCCGCCACGGCCTTTAATGGGCATTACCCAAAACGCCGAAGGGAGCGGGCCTGCGCGCCGCGGCAGACGGCGACCAGTGCCACCGCGCCGTAAGGGCCACGACCCGCGGTGCCAGCGCTCGACTCTGACCCTTACGGCGCCTCTCCTTCCCATGCATCCTTGCCCCGGAAAAAGATAATTTCGAGGACTTGTTATATTGGATATTCCATGCAACGCAAATTCCAAATGCAATATTGTTAGCAATTACCGGACGCCGACAAACCACCGCAGTCGTAAATCACAGGTGATTGTCTACCGCCGACCCCGCTACCACGAACACCCACTCTCATGAATGTACCAGCGACCCCGATATAGCGAACGCCTACTATACGTGGGCGCACTTCTTCTATTCGTTGCTGCTTCTCGTCTCGTCGTCTGGTATTGTTGCTTTGGTCGTTATATATCTATTGCCAGTTTTATCTGGTTATCGGTTTCAGTATTCTTATTCCATTACTATTATCAATATTATTATTATCGTTAACATCATCATCTTTATCATCAGTATTATTATAATGTTTTTTATCATAATTATTATTATTATTATTATCATTAATAACAATAATGATAACAATAATATAATTATCAATATTATTGTTAATATCACATACTACATCATCCTTATTATCATCATCTTTTCATTATTACAATCATTATCATCAATATTGCTATTATTACTATTACGATTACCATTATTATCATCATTATTATTACTGCTATTATTATTATCCTTATCATCATTACCATGATAATAATAACAATATAACAGCAATATAAACAATAATACAATATTAATAACAATAATAATAACAATACAATAACAATAATAATAATAATGAAAATAACAATAACATGAAATCCAATAATAATGAGATTAAAAATAACAAAATAATGATACTAATACTAAAAATAGAAATGCTAATGCTAATGAAAATAACAACAACAATGATAGCAATAATAATACTGACAGCAACACTAATAATAACAACGATAAATAATTAAAATAACAGTTATGAGAATGATAATCATTACAATAACAACTATTACAATAATAATGATGATGATAAAATAATAATAGCAATGTTGATAATAACAACGATAATAACAACAACAATGATAATAGTGCTAGCAATAAGAATGATTATAAATAAGAACAACAACAACATCAACAACAACAATATTAATAATAATAATAATAGAAATTATCATTATCATCACGATGATAATAAAATAATAATAAAAATAACAGTAATAATAATACCAATAATAATATTAACAACAATGGTAATAAAAATCCCAACAACAACAATGATAATAACAATAATAACACAAATAATATATTATGATGATGATAAGGACAAATCATTACAATAATAAAAACAACAAACATAACCGGACAAATACTACTACTAATGATGATGATGATAACTGAGAAACAAGTGAGTGAGCGAGAGAGAGAGAGAGAGAAAGAGAGAGAGAGAGAGAGAGAGAGAGAGAGAGAGAGAGAGAGAGAGAGAGAGAGAGAGAGAGAGAGAGAGAGAGAGAGAGAGAGAGAGGGGGGGGGGGGGAAGAAAGAGAGAGAGAGAAAGAAAGAAAGAAAGAAAGAAAGATAGTGAGAGGAAGAGGGAGGAAGAGAGTGAGAGAGAGAGGGAGTGGGAGAGGGAGAGAGAGGGAGAGGGATGGAGAGAGAGGGGGAGAGAGAGAGAGAGAGAGAGAGAGAGAGAGAGAGAGAGAGAGAGAGAGAGAGAGAGAGAGAGGGAGAGAGAGAGGGAGAGGGGGAGAGAGAGAGAGAGAGAGAGAGAGAGAGAGAGAGAGAGAGAGAGAGAGAGAGAGAGAGAGAGAGAGAGAGAGAGAGAGAGAGAGAGAGAGCAGGAAAACCAACCTGGCGCCCACTTGCTCCATCTGTTCTCCACAATTCCATGCGAGATGAACATTTCGTATTTGCTTAACCTGAATGTTCTCCTTGTTCATCAGAGTGTTCATGCTCCGTCCCTTGCCTTTGTTCCTTGTGTCATTCATGTTCAAACTCGCCCCCTTTCTCCTTCTTCTTCTTCTTGTTCTATCTGTTCCTCTTTGTTCTTCCAATTGTTCTTCTTGTTTTAACTAATCCACTCGTTCATTCAGCTTCGCTCGTTATATTTCATGTCATATCCCTCTCTCTCTCTCTCTCTCTCACTTGTTCATCTAGTTCTCCATGTTCTACCTCTCCCCTTTACTCAGCTGTTCATGTTCAGTCCCCTGCGTTCGTTCAATCGCTCTCGTCTTCCCTCTGTTCATCCTGTTCAACGAGTCCAGCGTTTACAGCATCTCATCTGTTCAGTTGCAAGTGGTTCTCATCTTCCTGTTGCTCAGACACCTTCGCTTTGCATGCAGTAGCTAAGTCATACACGCGCTTACAGATATATACATGCAGATATACACACATACAAATATACGCACACAAGCACGCACATGGACACATGTACACACACACACACACACACACACACACACACACACACACACACACACATATATATACCTATCTTTCTATCTATGTACATATATATGTATGTATATGTAAATATGTATATACATATACATATATATGTATGTATATAAATGTACGTATACATATATATACATGCACACACACACCCTCCTCCTCTTTCTTCCTTTCCTCTGGTTTATCACCGTTTGCAGGTTCTTCCCACTTTTCTCCTTCCACTTTCTTCGCATCATCCAAAAGCGAAAATGGGAGTAAGGGAGAAACTGAGAGTTGGAAAAGGAAGGGATGGGAAGAGAAGAGAAGAAAAGACAAAAGAGAGAAGAAAAGAGGGGAAAGTGAGAAAAAAGAGAAGAGAAAATAAGAAGTATACGAAGCGGAGAAATAAGAAGAAAATGTACATGAAAAATAGTAAAAATAAGAATAAAATATATATTAAAAATCCTCCCGAGAAGTTGACTAATAGGCCTAGTGTTAGGTATTATGATTGTTGTCAATGTTATTGTTATTATTATCTTTACTATTCTCATGATATTTGTCATTATCTTTGCTGTTGTTATTATTGTTATTGTGTGTGTGTGTGTGTGTGTGTGTGTGTGTGTGTGAGAGAGAGAGAGAGAGAGAGAGAGAGAGAGAGAGAGAGAGAGAGAGAGAGAGAGAGAGAGAGAGAGTGAGAGAGAAAAAAAGAGAGTGAGGAATAGATAGACAGAAACAGATTGATAGATAGAGGCAATTAGATAATGAATGCCCGAAGAAAAAAAAATCAACATCAACCATTGCAGAGTTCCACACCACTGAAATCTTGAAAAAGTAAAGTATTTTACATCGGCTTACATCAGCCATGTGTCACCTTCCCCCCCCTCTCCACTCACCCCTCCCCCTCTCCCCACCTCAAAATCCATCATCAAAAACACACACAAGCACGTGCATCTTACTGCTTATATCTATAACTATATCTATCTATCTGTTTATCTATCTAGTAATCTATATATTTATCTCTCTGCCTGCCTACCTATCTATCTATCTATTTATCTATCCATTTATCTATTTATCTAGAGAGATGAAGATAGACAAATGGAGACAGACAGACAGGCAGACAGACAGACACACAGAGAAAAAAAAACTAACTGAGAATAAAACTAAACGATATAAAATAAACCCGCTTCATTCTGCCGGGCGCTGCGAGTCAATCAGAAGTTGTTTAGGCCTACGCGCGACAAGCCAATCATCGGAGGCGTGTGAAGGTAGCCAGGTAGGCCGTGGATGACTTCCTCCCCCTCCCCCCTTCCATCCTTCCCCTCTCTCACCCCCTCCCCGACAATCCTCTCTATATACCTCCCCCTCTCTCCTTCCCCTCACCCCCTACCCCCTCCCCTCCCCCATCACTCCCTCATTTCACCCCCTCCCCCCCCTCATATCCACCCACATAACATGAGAACCAAAGGCCCCATACGCCCCCCCTCCCCCTCCTGCCCCTTCCCTTCCCTTCCCTTTATGAAGACACCTTTCATGTTTGTTTTATTCATTTTTTTGTTTATTCTTTCAGATTTTTTCTTTGGTTTTCTTAATAAATAGAGAAAGATAAGTAGGTGGGAGAATGGGCAAGTGAAAAAACAGAGGGAAAGAGAGAATATATATATATATATATATATATATATATATATATATATATATATATATATATACACATAAAGAGAGAGAGAGAGAAAGAGAGAGAGAGAGAGAGAGAGAGAGAGAGAGAGAGAGAGGAGAGAGAGAGAGAGAGAGAGAGAGAGAGAGGGGGTGGGGTAGAGAGGGGGAGGGAGGGAGAGAGAGAGAGAGAGAGAGAGAGAGAGAGAGAGAGAGAGAGAGAGAGAGAGAGAGAGAGAGAGAGAGAGAGAGAGAGAGAGAGAGAGAGAGAGAGAGAGAGAGAGAGAGAGAGAGAGAGAGAGAGAGAGAGAGAGAGAGAGAGAGAGAGAGAGAGAGAGAGGGGGGGGGGGTAGAGAGGGGAGAGAGAGAGAGAGGAAAAAATCCGGTATAGGCCTGCGGGAAAGAGCTCTATTGCCCCGTCATTGAATGGATCAAGGGGTGGGATGGGGAGGTGGGGGGGGGAATTTTACAACTCTGGTTACGGCAGTGATTCATGTTGTGTGCTGTTGCCAGTTGTCGATTTTTTTTGCATTTTTCTTCCCATCTCCTTCTATAAGCGTTTTTTTGTTTGTTTGTTTCTTCCTGTGCCCATCTGTTCTTCTCTTATTCTCTCATTCTTTTCCTCTCCATCTCCCTTCTTTCACTGCCTGTCTATTATCTCTCCATAACTGTAGCTAATCTATCAATCTATCGCTCTATCTATGTCTATTTACTATTTACTATCTATCTATCACTTTCTATATATTTTCCGTGCTATTAGATTTTCTATAAATACCTCTATCTATAGATAACTCTTTCTGTTATCCCTAACTTTAACTATCTATCAGTTTTACTACATGTCTTCTATTTCACTATTTTTCTCCTCCCTCAATCACGCATTTCCTATATTACAAAATTCATTAATTCTTTTACCTTCTTATAAAGGACTTCCTTAACTGAACCCATTGCACCAACAACTATACATGGATTACACTCGATAAGAATAATAAAAAAATAAAAAAATCATAATGATAATACATTTTTTAAACTAAAAATTTCACTTTTTTAACACACTAATTTCATCATCAAATAAAGGCATTCGTATAACCATTCATAAGAAAGAATATTGAAGCTGAAGTTGAAATTGAAACAGCAGAAATTGCCATACCGGTAAATATATCAACAAAAAAATAGCGACTACGAAATACCAACAAGAAAACAGTAATGCAAAAACACACAAGCACATAACATTATTAAACAAATAAATAATAACACACAGTAATACACACACAAACATACACACGAACAAACAAATGTATAACACACATACACACAAACAAATAAACAAACAAACAAACACATATTCAAAAACATACAAAAAACAAACAAACACACGCATACAAACATGTTTACAGACAATCACAAAAACTACCCCTCCCCTCATAGCCAACAAACGCAAGCAAACAAAGAGGCAAACACCCAACCCCAGCCTCCGCTCAGAGCAACAAATCAAACGGCATTTAACAAACAGACAAGATGGCGGCTGACGCAAAGGAGATATAAATAACATAAAGTGATCATTACCCCCTTCTGTGCGGGCGTTCTCACCTGTTAACGAGTGCGTGCGTGAGTGCGTTCGGCCATTCAGCGCTCAGAGGGACAAGATATGGCGACAGATGACCAGATGTGCGGATTTATTGTTTTCTTTTTCTTATTTCTTCAGTTATCTTTATTGATGTCTGTCTGTCTGTATGTATGTATGTATGTATGTAACTCTTTTTCTGTCTCTGTCTGTCCCTGTCCGTCTGTCTGTCTGTCTTTCTCTCTCTGTCTCTGTCTCTGTCTCTGTCTGTCTCTCTCTCTCTCTTTGAAGAAAATTTTGTCTGTATACATACATAGTTCATCGTTTTCTGCCTTTTTGTTCTGTTCATTAATGCGTCGGATTGTAATTTTTCCCGCATTGGTGATGACGATGATGATTGTGGTGATGTTATGATGATGGTGATGGTGTGATGATAATGAAGATGAAGATGATGGTGGTGATGATGATAATGATGATGGTGATGGTGATGGTGATGATGATGATGATGATGAGGAGGAGGATGGTGATGATGGTGGTGGTGATGATGATGATTTTGGTGGCGTTGTGATGAGAACTGAGGATGAAGATGACCCAACAAATGCTTTTGCTACGACTAATACCCGCAGTAATGTAATAATAATAAGAGGCAGAAAGACGGACGGATTCCTATTCAAAGAGACTGAGAGAGAGAGAAGGAGAAGGAGAAGGAGAGGGAGAGGGAGAGGGAGAGGGAGGGAGGGAGGGAGGGAGGGAGAGAGAGAGAGAGAGAGGGAGAAGGAGAGGGAGGGAGGAGGGAGGGAGGGAGAGGGAGGGAGGGAGGGAGGGAGGGAGAGAGAGGGAGAAGGAGAGGGAGGGAGGGAGGGAGAGAGGGAGAGAGAGAGAGGGAGAAGGAGAGGGAGAGGGAGGGAGGGAGGGGAGAGAGAGGGAGAAGGAGAGGGAGAGGGAGGGAGGAAGGGAGAGAGAGAGAGGGGGAGGAGGGAGGGAGGGAGGGAGGGAGAGGGAGAAGGAGAGGGGAGGGTAGGGAGGGAGGGAGAGAGAGGGGGAAGGAGAGGGAGAGGGAGGGAGGGAGGGAGGGAGGGAGGGAGGGAGGGAGAGAGAGAGAGCGAGGAGAAGAGAGGGAGGGAGGGAGGGAGGGAGGGAGGGAGGGAGGGAGAGAGAGAGAGAGAGGGAGGGAAGGAGGGAGGGAGGGAGAGAGGGAGAGAGAGGGAGGGAGGGACGGGAGGGGAAGGAGGGAGGGGGGAGGGGAGGGAGAGGGAGAGGGGAGGAGGGAGGGAGGGAGGGAGGGGCCGAGAGAGAGAGAGAGAGGGAGGAGAGAGAGAGAGGAGAAGGTGATCAGGGGAGAAT